GGCGTTTCTAAGTAATTGAAAGCTTAATATAACAATTTATGTAAGCCATTTACAGTTCTAAACTAAGTAAAAATGCTCGGAAATAATATAAAAATGCATGAAGGTAATAAGAAGGAAAAACAAATCAAAAAGACTAATAAAACTTGAAAATATTGAAATTTTGATAAAATATTTGCTAACGTATTTCCTGAAGTTATTGAAATTCACATTTCAATACAATTAGCACAATAAAAATACTATTCACACACACAATGCATGCATTGATTCAAAAATTTTTAATCAGATATAACATTAATATTTCATTTAAAAGCAATTTACTGCGATAACAGAAACAATCATTTTAAGCAATAACTTTAATGCTTTACACGTCAAAAAGATTATTTCACGTCAAAAATGATATTTTAAGCAACTTTTAGTCTTCATTTAATAATTAGATACATTTAATATACTTATACAATTCCTCAACAACTTGTTGATGATGAAAGTTATCAAAACAAGAACAGAAACAATAAAAGAGAATTACAATATTATGCATCCTAAGTAGTATTGATAGAAGATTAACACATATAACTAAATAAATAAAATTTAGAATAAAGAAATAAATCAAATCAAATCATTTTTCAGTGAAGTTGTCATGAACAGAATTGAATATTAAAACTTCCAAATTATTTTTTTAAAAAATTATGTCAAAGTTTCTACAGTTCCCGATTGGATACCCAATTCCTCAACAAAAATCAATGCAATTCAGATTAAAGACGATGAATCAAAAATCAATCTGCAATCTGTCAGAATGACTTCAAAGTAAATTAGCAGTAACAAACTTTCCAATTGGGAAAATATTTCTGCTCAATAATTTTTAGCAAGGTGATGACATTAGCAAAACATCCCCTGGGGGTCTACAGCACATTTATCTGGCATTTAGAACTTAATAATATTGAATACAAAACGTCTTAAGATCTCGCTTCCAGAAAAAAAAAAAAGATATATTCGTATAAGATCTTTTTTTTTTCTTTTGTACAAAAGAAACAGAAAAAAATAATAACAATAATTTCCGGCTCACGGTTACTCCCGCACCCTACTCATCCAAAAGGTAATTGACAAAAGGAAAATTGAAAATTATGTGGGGATGGAAACGTACAAGCTGCCAACTCAAAGTCCCTTGTCTTCAGAAAGGTACTCCAGCACCTGGGGCAACGGACAAGGATCAAACACAGAGGAAGCAATTTCCTTATTAACCGTCTCATTTTCACGCTGTCATATTTCATTGGCTGTGTCTCGCATTTAACAGATGTTCATCGAACTTTGACCTATCGTCGATCAGGGGATGGTCTTCAAGCATGTGAACTTGTTAGGAGGTGTATTAGTCAAGAATCGCAATTACATGGAGCCCTTCACATGATGTGCATCACTATCTGCTGCGGTTTGTGATACATAAGATCGGAGATAAATTTTGGCAATATTTACTATTTATTTTATATCGGTAGAAAAAACGTATTTAAAAAAAAAGAATAAATAAAATTGAAATTATATTTTATAAAGAACTTTTATATGAATTTAATAAGAGAAGCGAAAAAGGATTTTACAAGGACTTAGTGTCTACTAATATGATCTCAATTTCCTGAAATTCTCAAAATCATAATGAAATTTCTAAGATTTGACATATATAATTATCAAATAATAAATTTATGCTTTTGTAATGTAAAATGACAGTTAAAATTAAAGAAAAAAAAATCACAACTATGTTTCATTGAAATTGCATCTTAAAAATGTCAATACGGTTAGTTTTACAGAACGTTTAAGAACATGGAATTCTTAAATGATATCTTTCTGAAATTTAAAAAAAAAAAGAGAGACTCCAATAAGAAAGCTCCAAAAAATTTGGCATATTTTCTGTAAATATAAAAGAAGGGCAAGGCTTTCACAGTTGCGTTTTAGGAAAAAATAAATAGGGACAGTAAACCTCATTTATCGTAGTTTTTATTTTAAAAATACACAGTCTATTTTTAGTTTGATAAAAGAAATTGAATCTTAAAGTTCTTAAAGTGCGCAATTAATTACTCAACATGTGTACAACTGTTATATATATATATATATAGCTTTAAGAAATATATCACTTAAAACCATCACCATGTATAAGAAAGCTCTAAATATTTTCGGAGTTTACACAGAAAGATGTTTAGAAATAACACATCCTTACTAACAGCATTTACGAATTCTAGGTACAATGTCCCGTTAAGCTTTTATAAAGTATATACCCCAGTAAACATTCAATTTAGAAAAATTACTTGTTTAATAAATGAAACTACAAAATAATATTTAAAAAATAAAATTATGATACCCCCGCGGCCCGGGGGTATCATCTCTTCATCTACGTGACCTAGATTTGTAGGAATAAATTATTGATCACTCAAATTCTCCATAATAAATCTAATTTATTGATCAACGCAACACAAGCCTTACTAGAGGAATCAGATCAGGAGTGCTACCCCGTAATAATCAATTCTAAGTAAATAGCGCCTGAAATCCTAATCACAATCTTTATGAGAAATTAACCTTGGAATCTTTATTTACTGTAGATTTCTTAATATAAGCTAAAATTCATTCTATAATTAATCTCTTACCAATACCTCACGGCAAGCAGCACCTCGGCTTTCCGTCTCTTCTTGTATTATATTCATCTACTATTATTCTTTCATTCTATTACTATCCGTCTTCTATTCTACTATCCGGTTTCTACTCAACTTCTATTCTTACTCTCCGGCTTCTAGCCGATCCCTATTCGACTAACTCGTGAATGTTAAAGCTCCCATATATATTCATTAATTAATCCACATATCGCGGTTTCTTCTTGAGAAAGTTGGATTGGAATAATGCCATTCTGGCCCCATAGATTCCCCAAGAGGATTAGTGAGAAGGCGCGATAAAGAGTCGTCACAAAATAAATAAATAACAAACTTTCAAATCACAATTAAAACTAGAGGTTCAGTAATCAAGTGTCTCAACCCCCTCCCTTGACTGTAACTGTTTTTTATACGTAAAGAGCTCTAAATTGGCATGATAACAACAAAAATCCATATTCAACCAGCATCAAGAGAGAGAGAGAGAAATTTCAAGCTTCGGAAGATTTAAGTCTAACAATAGAATCCATTACTTTCCCATCCAGCGGGAAACTTGAAATACACAAAAATGTACCCCGATTATCAGAGGACGAAATAGATGACTGTTTGGAGTACCATAGACAAAGGGAATAAAAAAGTTGGAACGCGTTATTAATCGAATGTCCTTCCGTTCGACAAGGGTAAGCGAGGGGTCAGTCTGCAGACAGATGACCAGCGACTTATCTTTGTCACCCATTCCGGCGTCAAATCTCTTTCTGCATGAAGAAAAAAAGTAATACAGAAAAGAAATAGCGTCCCATCCTCTCTGCCCTTTTGGACAAGCGAAGCATTTGTGTATTTTTGTCGAGATGCGTCCTTTTGCTGTTTGAGAAAAAGGGGGAGGGTAACGTTTTGAAGTGAAGTGGGGTATAAATCATAGGAATAGGCAGAAGCAAAAGGTTTTGAGACTTCAACAGAAGCATAGACAAGTGAAGGGAAACGTTTTCCACCGATATGAAAAATATAATTTTCTCCCCCTTTTTTCGGCCCTTTTTTCTCTTTAAGTTGTACATTTCTTAGGATTACATTTTGTGAGGACGATTACAACAATAATAAGGTAAAATGCAGCTCATAAATGAGTGTCTCGATAGTTTTTAGAAAATAAGTCAATATGTATGGCTTTCTTCTACAATTCATATTTCCATTTTTAATAAAGAATTTTAAATGATGCTTGAAATGAAAAAAACAATTAGAGAAATAATTTTAATTGAGTGAATTTAATGAAAATAATATGTTTTATCCATGAATATATCATTTGTCTTTCTTTTGTATTTAATTTCCAAATTTAATCATTTGTTTTTTATAGAAAATAATTTTTAATTCTTTATCATACTTAATAGTCAATCTTCTTCGTTCGTACAATAAATTTATTTTGAAATAATGCTTTACACACACATTTTCAAAGTATGTAAATATATATATATAACATTTGAATAACTATACTATAGAGTATAAAGTTGAGAGTAAATTTTTCATATGCTATAATTATTACCATTAATAGTAAGATCATATAACATTTGTTTCATTACTTTATTTATAAGTCTTTCTATATTAAAACTTCTTAATGTATTGTTAAGACAACCTAAATAACAATGCAAAAAATTTATATCTGACGACGATTATCTTATATTACTTTTAATGCACCGGAGATGCTATAAGAAATGATATTTGCATAATATACGTGAAACATGTCTAAAATAAAAGCAGAGATGTGAATTTAATTGATTGACAATTAACATCGCAATGAGAAAAAAACGTACTAAAACGCAAAGGAAAGAACATCTAAGTATTATTTCTTTTCTCGTCTTTCTAGTTATTAAATTTTGGAGATATTATTTAAAGTTTGTTTGTTTTTTTCATAAAAAAGCATGCCATCTTATAAAATAACACGGTTAATATTATTAGAGAAATTTGGTTTAATATTCTGAAAAAAACATAATCAAAGGCACACACAAAAACGAATTTTAAAGTGTATCAGATTGCATTACAGAAGTTGGATTGTTCTACATCTGAAAACCATGACAACATATTTTTGCAAATATTTAAATCTAGAAAAAAAAAATTAGTTTTGCACATTTTTTTTTACACAATTCCTACTACTAGTTTACTCTCTCCCTATATACATTTATATATCTTGTTCAAATTTTTCATGGTTAATAAAATAATTTCTGTTCATCCACTCGAGTTCAAATACATTTTTTTAAACTTGTAGAAGATGACACTTGATGTTAATACAGTTTTTTTCTAATTTGATACATTAATATTTGAATAATTAATGAATAAATAGTTACAAACTAAAATAACAGCCCAACACCATATATAAAAAGGAAAATGGCTCGTTGTGTCCCTGTAGCGCAATAGATAAGCGCGCGCGCGTTGCACTTCTAATTCAAAGGTCGTGGGTTCGAATTCCCCCAGGCCTGGGATGGCCTAATTTCTGAGAATGTAATTTATTTTTACTATACTATTTTATTGGAATAATTAAATTCCTGAATAGTTGCAAACAAAAATAAAAGTTCAACACCATATATAGAAAGGAAAATGGAAAATTGCAAGAGAAATCACTTTCTATTTTGCCACTTAATATTGTGATTCTGTCATATGTATATACATATATATATTAATTGTCAACTGAAATAAATTTTTCTTGGTTGACCTAAGTAGTGTTTAAAATTATATTTATTTAAAACTTACATATAGCTCATGCGTTTTGATGGAGAAAATACATTTTTTAAAACACTTTCACTAGCAAAAGAAATATAGGACCACGGTCCAATAGACTTTAACTAGAGAAAGATAAAAAAAAAAAGAAAAGAAACGGGAACGCCCACTTATTAAAGATAAAATAAGATGAGTACATTCTCAACAGCGGCTATCAGTTACTGCTTTTGAAGAGGTAAGAAAACCAGGACGTAATGAGTCTTTGTCTTGTTCTCCATTCTGTAACTAGTTTGCCTTGTTGCAAAGGGAAAGAAAAAAAAAAGTCGAGAGAATTTTCAAGGTTGTTGTCCACCAACTTAGGAGCTTTGGCGATTTTATTATCATCAATTTCGCCAGTTCGTGATTGCCTACACACAAAACTGACAATGAAATGTAGCACACATGCATATATAAAGCTTGATACTTTATACTCACTAAAAGGTACAAATTACTTCTACTCTTCGCACTTTTACCACAGAAATATGAATGATAATTAAATCATGAAACTCTTAAATAAAGCGTCTGAGACATTGTAAATATATTTCGAAAACACAAACTAAAGAAATTAAGATATCTAAAGAAATATGTTTGATTCAATTGCTCCAAAGTATGGTTTATTTTGCAAGAACATGCAAATCAAAATATTAATTATTTTTGATTACAGAAATTCCTAAAATTACTTGTTGGAGTTCTTAATTAGTTCGCGTTCAAAGAAAATTCTCTTTCCGTATATTTCTCTTTGTTTCTTTTAATGTTTAAAATTTTCCAAAATTATGTATGTATAATTTTGTAATTATTCACAAGAAAGCGTAGAAATTATCTTGTACTATTTAATGAAAAGAAATAAGCTCTCTTCAAAACTTTGTCAATTAGTTTGTTTATAGTTTCTATACTATTTACTAACGTTTTCTTAACTTCCAAACACTTGAAATACCCAGTTATTCACAAAACGTTTTCAAAGAGAATTACATCAGAAAATGAATGATACAATGAAAAATGAATACGAACATCAACTTTATTTAATCTCGAAAATAGATATGATTACTATTTTTAATATTATCCATTACTATTTTTAATATTATCCAATCAATATTAGATTAATTCAGTAACATAATGATTATAATTTCAATCAATAAAAGCACGAATAATTCGTAAAAATACGTATAAAATAATGTTTTAACAATAGTTTCAATAGGAGTGCAGAAACTTCTCTTATCCATAATATTACTAAACTAAACTCAGTGGCGCAACAGCCCATAAAGGCCAATGCCTACTGTGTCCATCTCAGTATACGTGACCTTGGGCAATCCGTAATATTACATATATTTAAAAGGCAATAAGTGTTATCGAAAAGAAAAGAATATATCATTGCCCATTTCAATGTGCTTTTGGAATCAAACTTCAGAAAGAACTTAAGTGGAAAATCAAATTATAATATCAAGTACGACTTAAGATTATAACTTTAGATTTCTCAATATTTTAAAAGTTGTTCAAAATTGACAATGTGTTCAACGTTACTGTTACAGAGTCTCATGATTATGTAACATAAATATTTATTTTAGTTAAGATTTAATTCGTTTTTCCTTGTATCTCAAATTTAAACGATTCTATATTATATTACATCACTGCATTTTGAAGAATAGCTCAAAATGATTAAAACACTCTGTACTGCCACCCTCCGATCATTCCTCCCCTCCAATACCATCCCTTTAACAAATTTTCATATCGAGTCAATCAAGCCGCAGGAGTCGAAGAGCCAAAAAAGGCAACCCCTCTCTCTATTCGAAACAACCCCAGAGCGGGCAGGGGAGTAAGAAAAGAAGAGGACAAGAGTTAAAAACAAAGCTTGTCCGAGAGTGAAGTCCACCATCTATTTCGACGGCGGCGGGGGTACAGGAGAAGTGGCTCTGGGACACGCCCATGGCCTGGGGACACCTCGTGGTTCCGGGACACCTAATGACGGTGAGGTGAAAAAGAAGGGGGTCGGGACTCACAATCGTGACTGGCCCAGATGGATAGATCCGAGACTCAGATAGCCTCTGATGTGTATACAACATGCGCACTCGCTTTCTTCTGCCGAGATGAACTGCATCCAGAGAGTTCATTTTCGGTCCTATAGACTCGCCATCCCCCCTCCCTCTCCTTGACGTATTCTCAACAGCAACAACAGATACTAATTGTATTCTGGGGACGCTTTTGTCGGAGAGTAACGCTCGCGAGCTATGCAAAAGCCGCAGGTATTTCATGAGAGTGTATCGTTGGACAATAAGTGGTATACACTGTGAGTTAGTATATTAACCAAGAGTTAGTTATAACCTAGAGCACACAGGGGTAATAAACCTTTATGGATCAACGTGACATTTTTCTGTAGAAATGTTTAACGAGGTATAGACGTGCCATCAAATACCATGTTATGGTTATTACGAAAATAATAAAATGAAATACTAACAACTCAAAATTCTTCATTTACTACGTAAAAATACATTTTGCAGTGTATTGTTGTAATGTTTTAGTAATACGTGTAATTCAAATTAAAGCAACATTAATGTGACTTCTGTTGTTGCAAATTAGATGACAAATAACTCATGTTATGATTGTAAGACAATTACAAAACAGTGTGCTCCCTGCCCTCCGCCTCGCGCACCTCAACCGATTACTCGCGTTTGTTCGTAATACTTCATAGAGAGCTTTGCTATTTTGAACGAAAATGCAAACCTTTTTGATCGGTGGCGTGCCCAAAATGTCAATGGCACGCGTTTTTTTGGTTCGCCATCCCTGACTTAGAGTATTTAAAGGACAATGTGTATAGAATGACTACATGATAACATATACACAACGGAAATTTATATAATTTGCAATTGTTCTACTTATTTGTTTGGTAAATAATTAAATAATAAGTAAATTAATAAGTAAAGTAGTTATTTGGATTCCATTAATTTCTCATTGCAGTATGGAGTTGGGAAAGGTCCCAAATCATTTTTGAAGATGTCATTTCGATTTTATTGCAACTAAAAAAAAATTGTCCTTTCTCCTTATCAAATTCAAATGCATGTATATCATTAAATGTTTTATCATTTTTTTCCCGATAGCAAAACTTCGTATTTTTTGGCAAGATGTGTTTATTATTGCAAGGTATTTCAAGAGAACAATTTCAAATTGATTGTCATTTAAATAAAAATAACACCAATTGAATTTATAATTAAATATTTTGCCATTATTTTCCAGTGTCGAAATTTTACTGCTGTTGACGAGTTATGTTTATTATTAAAAAGTTTTGAGTATAGTTTAATGAATATATATATATGATACAATATGTCATACTAAAAAATGGATGCTCCGTGTGAAATCAAACAAATTATGAGCAGAAAACATTTTCCTCTATGTGTCCATCTTTATTAATATCCTTAATTTGCCCGTAAGTATAATCCACTAATTAACACACAATGATTCTAAATAGCTGACAATTTTTTTTTCTTTTTAAATATAAGTGTCATCTAAAATGTAAATAGAAACATTATTAACAATATCTTAATTTGAAATTAAATATACCAGAACTCCTGATTGTCATCATCCAGACAAAATGGAAAGGGAAATTGAAAAAAAAAAAAGATTTCGGCAAATTTAATTTAATAATTAAGAAAAAACGATGCAACTTATTTAACTAAAAATTAATTGGAATTAAAATAGGTCATTAAGATTTCATCCTCAATAATTTGTTTGTCGGCTTTTTTTAAAAAAATGCCTCCAATTATTGAGCATTAATGTTTTGTCACACAAAAAAAAATTATTAAAGTTGAAACATCGATACACGTGTTAAATTGAAACACTTTTTAGAGAAATGCCGTAAAACAATTATTAATGCTTTCTATTACTACACGTAATTATATCATACAGTTTTAAAATTATCTTTAAATATCATGTGTATCATATATTTAATCATTTATATTTCAAATTGTTTCACTTTTTAAATGAAGTAAAATATTTTATAATTGTTATAAAAAGCTTCAAGTTATGGAAGGAGAATACACACAGTGTAATAAACAAATAGTTTTGCATTTTACATTTACATGTTTAAATATAAAAGTATATTAAATTGCTACCTAATACAGAATAAAGATTTAGAGGAACAAGTTTGTGCATACAAATGAGTTGAGAATTCAGTGAATTAAAAGGTAATGTATTTTCGCTTTCTATTTTTTTTCAATTGAATACAAAACATTTTAGTATTCAATTCAAATTAACGCTTACAATCTCTGAAATCAGTAGAAAAAAAAAGTTTCCTTCGAGGCTGTTTCTTTAAATAAATGTTAGAATAACCTCATAAAACGGCAGAGAAAAAAGCAAACTTCAATTACTTTTTAAAGCTTATTGCTTTAGCAATCCCTTTTTAAATCAATATTTTAAAATTTTTAATACGTAGCGTATTTATACGTAAAATTTAGACTTATTCATGAACATATTATCCTTAAAAAGTAGACCAATTTCTTATATATTTTAACACACTACTTCAAAAATAACTGTACATAAGAAGAAAGTAAGAAGCAAAAGAAATAAGAACTGTACTATGAAAGCAGATAAGATAATAAGGTTAAAATAGATATGCCATGCAGAAAACAAAATAGCAATAATAATAAATTTCATTAAAAAAAAAAAAACAATCAGGTATTTTAACACTTTATCATTGATAAATTTAATCTTTTTTTATTTTAATAATTAGATTTCAGAACA